AAGGGGTTTAACTCCTTTAGCGGCAAGACCATTTTCTTTTGGGCGGGCACAATGTCCTCGCAGTTCTCCTGTTAAGTCCCTCAGAACGATGACGCACGTTAGCACCAAGACTAAGCAGAATGAATTTATGCATGGTTGGGGGAAGGAAGTGAATCTATTTTCAGTTATTCTGGATTCACTCACACTGACTGAGATCTTGCTGTTGGAAGCTGTGTAACTAGCTGGCATGTTAGTGGAATACTACAAACAGTGCAATTTGTAGCGTGGGGAATGTGGATAGGGAGGAAAAGCTTGAACAGGTGGACAGGAACGATAAGAACGCACAATTAAGTATGCGAAGTCTGGACAACAGAATCTGTAAAATCTGCCAGCATCCTGAGACTCAGATTGAGTAGCATTTTTCTCACCTTATGCAAACCACTGAGTTTAACAGGCAGAAGTCTGTGCTGAATTTTGGGAGATAGATCAGAAGAAAAGAGCTGTATTCTGCTTATCTTTCCCTGAGGCTTCTGTGTTTTTCAGCTTGCAAATAAATTCCTACAAAGCTATAAAGGATTGCTCAAGAGATCATTTGAAATTTAGCACTGAAATCACATTTATAGTAAGTTCTGGCTAAGTAACAGGAACGTGGCATGGCATGAAAGAGAAGAGTATGCATTCCTGAAACCTACTGAGCAATCCCCTGTGATAGATAGTAGGAGACTGTAATTTCCTAAGACAAACGTGAGGCTGAAGGGTGTTAAGACTCTGGCTTTGGATTTACAGTGTCAATTTATAATGTGGTTTGTCTCATAAAATGGTACTAAATTTGAGGGCATAAACAAAACTGAAGTTAGTTCCTCTTTACAACCCCTTCCCCAAACTGATGTATTTTTCATTTTTCATTTTAATGGTCTCAGATCTCAGTTTCTGACAGATCTTCCGGGAGACAAGACTTGTCTGTCTGCATAGAAAAGGGAGAAGATCCTGCTGAGGCTACTAGCTGGAAAGTCTGCCACCGCTAATAGAATATTTTCCATAGATGTTTTATTGACACAGTACTTGAGTGCTTGCTGCATAAAAATCAATACCCATAGCAGACTGTGAACTGGAGAGAAAAACTGGGGCTGTTTCTTTTGGAACGCTGCTTTGTTAGAGAGGTATTTTTGGGGGGGAAGAATGCAGAAGGAACTGCTGGTAAAGATGAAGGCTTGACAGATGTATCAGTCTGACCGCAAAAATTTAAATCTTTCTTTTTCCTGATCCAGAGAACATAAGAAAAAATGCACATATGCAGAAATACGTGGTTGGAGTAAGGTAAATTAACCTGTACGGAGAGTCATGCAGTTATGGACAGACTTTACTAGTACCCAAGCACGTTAATTTAAAGGCAGCTCAGGTAATTTTGAGTCATTAATTTTAACCATTAACAAATTTTTCCTTCGACCCCTACTTTTGTCTTCTGTGTTTTTTTAAGTTTAGACAGCATCCGCCTTTGAAGAATTGTGTACTTTTGAATGCGGCAGTACCACTGGATCCTGACCCGGACCTGCTTTGGTGCTCACTCCATCCTCCAGGTCAAAAGAGCATATTACTAGTGACCTGCAGATGATTACTTTTCCAGTTTAACCACACTGTTTCCTCTACGTAACGCAATAGCGAGGGAGCTAAGCGGAGCTCTTGCTCCCAAGAGGAGGCTCCTTGTGAAGCGACGGGTTGCTGTTGGTGGTAGGAGCGGTGCTTTAGGCGGGAGAGGACTGCCCGGCTGCTGGCAGAGCACAGCTAATTCCTCCTACGCGGGGACGGCTACGAGCTCCGGGGCAAGCTAGCTCCACTCCGTGCAAACCAGCTGAGCGACGACTGCTGCTGCTTCCGAAAACCCTCGATCGTGGTTTCCAACACCAGGAGCTCTGGCCTTGTAACTAAATAGGAAGCATGTTTTTCCTGATGAAAGTTGCAATCGCCTGTTCGTACCGAGCAGCGCTTGCGCCGGCAACGGTAAATCGAGGCGGTTAAAGGAGGCCAAGCCGGAGACGGTGGCTCTAGCCAGGCCTCCGCATGAGGCCCTCGAGGGCAGCGGGGGGCAGCCCGCCCCCCGGGCCCCCCTCAGCTC